CCCCAGTCTAGAGAATAAATAGAAGGTAGGAAAGGCTAGGTTCAGATTAATAAAGGTTGATAAAAGTCTCTTACTGTAATTTTGATTACTGCTTTATATTCTTTCACAGTTAGCTGATTTGTGACAAATGAAATCAGTATTATACACACACATTAGAAAAGTTTATAAAAGCGAAATCATTAGACTATACTTGCGCCAATTCATTCTAACCTTCGTAGGCCTGAAGTCAAGAAAATTTGATGCAAGACATAAGGATATTTCATATTACTAAAGAAAATTTAATTGAATTTTAATGGTATAAGTCCTTTTTAAACATTTGTTTTACATTTGGCATCATTTCACTAGGTGTGAACTGTGTTGTGTTGTATTAAGCAATGGTTTGTATTATTACGTAAGTCAAATGGACTTTCTATTTGATGGTCAGCAGCCCACTGCAACACAGAAACCACATTTGTACTAGATGTGTGATAATTTATTTTTATTTATTTATTTATTTATTTATTTATTTATTTATTTATTTCTGTATACACGTAAACACTGATTATGGCATTACTTAATATTGTTTCTTTTCTACACCAGGAGAGACTGTAAGGCAGAATCTATTCCAGTCCATCAATTCAGCTCTAGATTTTGCCCTGGCTACAGATGACTCAGCTGGTAATACCTTTGTGATTTATAATGAAAGGATATAGACTTGCACATGTATAGATGAGATAAACAGTGCGGTTGATATACATGTGTGTATACATTTTGTTTGTCACATCTTTACATTCATAGTTTTACACATTCACAGGACACACACACATTTCACACACACACATTTGACACACACACACACACACACACACACACACACATTCACAGACACACACACACACACACACAGCACGCACACGCACACGCACACGCACGCACGAGCATATGCCATATATGATATAGAGTGTAACAAAGTCAGAAATTGATTTGCATTTTAATGTGTCATTGTAAATTCGTGTGTGCATCTTTCCAGTGATATTTGGAGAGGATGTCGGCTTTGGAGGAGTCTTCCGATGCACGGTTGGACTGCAGGACAAGTATGGGAAGGATCGGGTGTTCAATACTCCACTGTGCGAGCAGGGCATTGCAGGCTTTGCAATCGGAGTCGCTGTTGGAGGAGCAACATCCATTGCGGAGATGCAGTTTGCTGATTACATTTTCCCGGCCTTTGATCAAGTAAGCACCAGGGATATATATAGTAAACAGAGTAAATTTGAGTGTGACGGTGTTGATGCTTATTGTATGATAACCTTTTTCTATCTGTAGAAAAGATGGAACAGTGAGTTTGTAAAGTTATTGTAATCCTTTTTGTTTCTGAGCTACGCTAAGCACACTGACAGGTGCACACATGCAAGTGCTCGCAAACACGCTTGCACACACGCACACACGCGCATGCGCGCACGCACGCACACACACACACACACACACACACACACACACACACACACACACACACACACACACACACACACACACACACACACACACACACACACACACACACACACACACACACACACACACACACAGAGGAAGATATGTATATACGTATGACATATATATCATAATCTAATGCTCTCTCTCGCCCAGATTGTGAATGAAGCAGCCAAATATCGTTATCGTTCAGGCAATCTCTTCGACTGTGGTAAGCTAACAATTCGAGCTCCCTGTGGTGCTGTGGGTCATGGCGCCCTCTATCACTCGCAGTCTCCTGAGGCTTACTTTGCTCACACTCCGGGTCTCAAGGTATAACGTTCAGTGTTATTTATCAATACATAGGATTATGAAGAAACAAGATTTTTTTGTTTGTCTATAGTATTTGGGAAGTGCAAGCTAAATGAAATAACCCCTCTTTGATTAGAAAAGTGAATGCTAAATAAAATAACTCTTCTTTGAATAGGAAAATTAAAGATAAATAAAGGTAACCAATTTGGTATCACTACTCTCTTTTCCTCCATCTTTTCTCTCTTTTTATTTATGTATTTTTTTCTTCTTTCTTTCGTCCCCCTTTTCACTTTCCTTTTCCTCTTCGCCAGATTGTGGTTCCCCGTGGCCCAATCAAAGCAAAGGGCCTCTTACTCTCCTGCATTCGGGACGATAATCCATGCATCTTCCTGGAGCCGAAAGTCTTGTACCGCTCAGCCGTTGAAATGGTACCCACAAAGGAGTACACGCTCCCCCTCTCTTCAGCGGATATTGTAGATGAAGGTATGACTTTCTTTTTTGCGGTATTGTCATTTGTTAGGAAGGATTGCTTATAGGGGACTTTTACTTGACTCTGCTGTGGTTTTGATTAAACGTGATTTTTTTTTTTTTCTTCTTTTTTTTTTTGACGGGTTTTGATTCCTGTCATTTGAAAGTTTTTTTTTTTTCTTTTCTCCCTTTTTTATTCTTCTTCATCTACTACTTCTTAATATCAGTCTCTTCTTTATATTTGGTAGGTCCTAAGCATTGCATAAGTGTTAAAATTGGTATTACAGTAAAGAGTCCAAAGGTCCCCCCCCCCCATGGTACACAGACCTGTTTGGAATAGTTTGTCTATTAAATGATTCAAAATTGACTTGATAGATTGCAAATTGTTACTACCATCCTCTATGGAAGTGTATTAATGTGGTTATTCCACTGAATGTTATGTAAATATCGCCAATTTTGTAGTAGTTGCAGTTCATGTTTGAATGTGTTACGCTTTTGGCTCTCTTTTGAGGTGTAGTACAAATAATGTAATATGAATCAGGGGCTTTGAAGCATAATGAGTAAGAAATTGTTTCCTCCTGGAATCCATGAGCTGTAAAGGGATTTTCCCCCCACATTTTGATCATCTTAGATTCAAAGATATTCATTTTTTGACGCATAATGCAAGTAGTTATGTCATATCCTTCTTTTCATTTTTTTTTTCTCTTTTTTTTTTCTTCTTTTTCCTTTACTTTTGATAATTATGATGCAGTAAGATTCCTGAGATATGATGAGAAAGAAATTTCTTCATCATAATTTTCATATTTTAATGCAGTGATGTAATTAATGTATATACATTCCATAGCAAGATTGAGCCTGAATTCTAGATGGCACCTGTATTTGTCCTGAGAATGGAGGCATTGAGTTCTATGGCTCTGATGCCACTTTATTTGAGACACTACCTTTCAAAGTTGGTATGAGCCCACATTTTTCAGTGTTTTTATCCCGGTAAAGTGGGTTAATTTTTAGGTAATGCCAGGCATGGACTGGCACTTGTTAAAGTATATCACTATGTTCCTGAGAGATGGTAATATGAACAAGATCTCATCCTGGTGATTGGGACATGGAATCATGACGTGATGAGATGTCACCTGTCATCTGTGATTATTTGCCATCACATCAACCACCAATGGCTGATATGTAAATCTCCCTCGAGTTTGGAGAAGACAGCCATTAATCAAACCCTTTGATTAGATTATATTCTAAGGTTTGGATAAGTAATTTGTTCCACCGTTGGAAATTGCTTGACTTTTTGGATTGATTTACTTTTAAACTAAACATATTTTGATGTTTCTTCAACAGGTGATGATATAACTCTCTTGGGATGGGGTACGCAAGTCCATGTACTGAGAGAAGTTGCACAGATTGCCCGGCAGCAGCTCAATGTGTCCTGTGAAGTGATAGACCTCGTCACCATCCTCCCCTGGGACCGCCAGACTGTTTTCAATGTAAGTTCAATCAGATTTTGCCGTTTCTGTCTATGGTTTATCTGATTTTAGTTCCTGGGTAGACTTCGAAGTTGGCAGTAATATATACTTATGGTACATGTTCTTCATTTCTAGGATTTTTTATATTTATTTATTTAAATCTGAATGTTCAACAACTTTTTTCATATATTGATTCATTTTTAGTGTTAAGATTTTTATTCCAAGGAAGACATTAACCCATGCAAATATTTCAGTCTGTGAAGAAGACAGGCCGATTGATTATTGCGCATGAAGCTCCAATAACTAATGGATTTGGGGCAGAGATAGCAGCAGCAGTTCAGGTAAGACAGTTTTATGATTTATAGAAAGTTTAGATAGCTTTGTACTTCTCTCCAGAATTTTTTTTTCTTGATTGTAATTTTCACATTTAGAGCCAACATACTGGAAGCTATTTGTAATGTCCCGTCATGAAATGAAGTTTTCCCTCGATAAAGCAAGCAGTTCATACCAGAGCCACATCACAAAGATATATTTGTTGTGCTCCCTGCCAAAGTGAGGCAAGATTATAGCTTAATATAGGTAGTGACATTAAGATAAGCAGAAATCCCAGCAGAACCCATTTCCAAGGGTATGTGAGTTGAAGGCAAAAGAACCAATCAACTCGCCGCCTCAGTCAGCTGTTCGTCATTACCTGACCAATGTTTCCAGGCTTTACTGCTCTTCTGCTTTTTTTTTGTTCTTTTTTTAAAATTACATTTTGTTCTTTGCCTAAAATGACTTGTGTTTGCCCAAGGTATTCATATCCATGAAACATTGTTCACCACCAAATTCAATAGCTATTTTGTCTTTTTCCATAGGTTTGCCATGTTTCTCGCCTCACTTGCAGTTTGGTTTTGATTTGTGTTATACATAAGCAATATGTACTTAACTTGATTTCTAGTATATGTTTTCCTGTGTGTGATGTCTCACTTCTTTAAGGAGCTATGTGCATATGTCAGTACAAAAGACATAAAAGTAAATGAAGTCTCTGTTAATGTATATCTCAACCACCCCACAGAATGAATGTTTCCTACACCTGGAAGCCCCCATCGAGAGAGTATGTGGCTTTGACACTCCCTTCCCTCACGTCTTTGAGCCATTTTACCTGCCAGACAAGTGGCGTTGCTTCAGTGCCATCAAGAAGTTACTAAACTATTAATATTTGGGATTGACAAAAACGGTGGTGCAGCTGTTGATGTTAAGGTTGTTTTCTATTTGGTAGTTGGTCTTAGTAACAGGTACAAAGGAAGATTTAAATTTTGATTTGGGCAAAAGTTTGATCTTCCAGGGTCCTCAACTTGTCTAATGTGTTATTGCATTTTAGATAGTTATTTTTTATGTAAAAATATGGGTGGACTCCATTGTCTTCGCTCACTTGGTATGCCATACTTTTTTGTAGAAGTATTTACAAATAAAGGGAAGTGTTAAAGCCTTAGCTGTATTTTATATTTTAGTAGAAGAAAGTTCATAGGTATGTCTTTGCAATAGTATTTTGATGTGAGAATGGCTCAGAATAAACATGCTTTCTTTGGTAATTTTAGTCTTTTGGTTATAAATTAAAACACTTGTGTCATTAGTCTTTTGTGGATTAAATATACTTTATCACAAATGTACTTAAGACAGGTTCTGACAGCTTGTATCAGTATATGTGCTTGCACAAATATACCCTCAAACAAACAGGCACGCACATGCAATAAATGTACACAATTTAGAAAAGAATTGAAGTGAAACAACCTACACAATGATGGAAAGGATTATGTTCTGTAACTTCTGCATCGTACTAAAGGCAGCAAGACAGGAGCAATAAGTCATGATATTTTGTCAGATTGGATTAGTCATTGGCCAATAAAACTGAAATAGCATTCAGGATTTATCCTTTGATGAGGAGGTCTTTTCTGACGGGAATTCATGGTTTATTTTTCCTTTCTCGCTATGGTTTTTATTTTATCATTGCACACACTTTACTGTATTTATATTTTTAGTTCATACAGGATCAGTAAATTTGACATTGAAACTTGGGATGTATAGATTAAAAACTGGACTGAATTAGTTTCCTTAGTGCTTTTGAATTCTTTGTAAAAATGTGTTTATATCATATGAAGTTTTGGAATGTATAGATATACATGAATTTAATATTGGAAAGAGTATAGCATTCATATCTGTGGTATTTTTTAATGAATCTCATTATTGGTATAGTTTGGAAGATAATAATTATTATTTTGAGTTTAAAAAGCAGAGAGGGAAATCAGGTTTTAGTAAAAATGAATCCTTTTTTGCTGTAACATTGGCTTTAATAAAAAGATTCTCCATTAAAAATGTGAATGTAGGGTAAGTGTCTCGGAATTGCAACTTGTCAGAACTTAAAAGGAAAACAGATTGTGATATTTGTTGTTTTGTTGACTGGGAAACCAAAAGGGAATATAATGCTTTCCATTATTGTGCAAAATAAGGTCAAGGTTGAATGCATGTGTACTCAAAGCACGAGAACCGCCAGTTGGGTTTCTACGAGTGGTTTGCAAGCATCCTGATTAAAAATGTTCAGATTTACTAAAACGAAGGTCTGTAATATGTGTAATGCATAAATATGGTTTATTCACTATTCATAAAACTATTTTCCTCAGGATTCACAGTTTGGTGTATAGTAGAATTCATGCGACAATTAAGAAATTTTACTTTTGTGATATCTAGTTAAAAGAGTAATTGTTAGATAAGTAATTAGATGTTGTAAATATAAATATAATTTTGTAGACACCTTCTTTTATCATTGTCCCTTACCCTATGTTTTTTTTTTTTCCAGTAAATAATATCAAACAGCAGAGTTGGAACTGAATGATGGGTCAGGAATGCTACTATATTGTATTATTTATTCTGAAAATATACAGTTGGATAGAGACTTAGGTGATTCATATTCAGTATTGTGAATATTTGTGAAGCATTTGTGATCTATTTCAAATGCCAAAGAACAAGGGAGTGTTTAGGTCTAATAAAACCATCTTTGCATAATATGATAAAGTCATTAATTGCCAACTGCATCTAGTTCATATGACCTAAAAATGGTTGCAATTGCAGATCAATAAAGAAGAAAGAGAAGCTGGATTGACAAAATTGAGTAACTTAAGTACTTATAACACTGAACGTAATACGTGGTAAAGTTAAGGGGGTCATTGTTCTTTGCAATGACGTTCCTTATGTCATCCATCATATGTATGTTGTGTATGTGTGTGCGTGCGTGTGTTTGTGTGTTTTCATGTTTATATTTAAATAGACGTCCATATGAATGTATATGAATGAGAATATCTTTACAATGCAAGAAACGTATTTGACCGTATTTGTATGTATTTCTGACGGAAGATAGAAATACATAGCGAAGGATAAAGATAAGCCAGGTATGTGAAGCTGAACCTCGCCCACGCTATGCTTATGAAGGGCGCTCAGCATCAGCTAATAAGTAAGGATAAGTCCAATATGCGAAGCTAAAACTCGCCCGGCTTATGCCAACTCGATCAGCGTTGGTGCTGATTCGACTGAGCTTGGTTCTTTCACATCGTGGTGACCTCCGGGCGACAATGTCAATTCCTCGTGCTAATCGCTGACCCCTTGGATGAGAGGCAGACGCATTGCCACTGTACTATCGCTGAGGTTCAGGTTTCAACGTTCAGTTCAGTTAGATTTGTGAAGTCACGCTTCGCCCGGGCCTTTTCTCTGGAGTCGACCGGCCTGTGTCAGCTATTTCTAGTTAACTCATGTGTAGGTTTCAACGAAATTACAGAGCCTAAGATATCAGGCCTAAGCTCATGCAACACCTGAGGACCGTGACCTACCGCTCATTCCCCTCATTGTTGCCGTGACCTTGAATGACTTGACGTAGCCTGATGGAGTGTTTACCTTCTCCCTTATGGCGGATGTCGCTTCCACTATTTTCCTTTTCTCTTTGTTCAGTCCTCCATGGGTTATTTCTGCTTCCTTCAAGTTCGTTGGATGTCCTGCTTCATCCACATGCTCCTCCATAGAAATTCTTTGGTGAAGGACGAGGTTCGCTGCCTCTGGCGTCGGAACCACGTCCTGACTTATTATAACGCTTTATCGCATCTGCTGCAGGTTGTGAGGTGAACCGCGTCGTCGGGGTTGTTTGTGGGCGGCCTTCTGTTTCGTAATATGTCGCGTGTCTGTTCACCCGATGTGTTGGCGATTATTACTGTAATATCAAAGTACCTTCTGGTCGCCTCGTGAATGTTACATGGCGGTAGTATGAGAAGATTATAGGTGGATGCAAGGTCTGATCGTGTTCGTACATTTTCGCCTTGCTGAGGCTCAGAAGGAAGCTTCTGAGATGTTTGTTATATAAATTAATCAAATACATAGGTAACCTCAGCCTCAAGGAATTCAGGGCAGCATATCATCCTCAGTACTCTGAGGAAGCCAATCACAAGCCCGGATTTTGTTTTATCATTGTGGGTGGAGTACTAGTAGTAGCTATAATAGTCTTTATTCGTAGGCTTTCTGTCCACAGAGAAACGTGGGCCGTCGTCACCTCGATGGATCAGTGTCCATCGAAAAGTTTTTTTTTTCTAATCCTCTTCATCATAATGAACTGGATTTTCTCGTGGACGGACGTGAGCGGCGACAGCGTATGGCGTCAGCTCGACCTTCTAGGAATGGTGACGAGGACATCATCTACGTAACAAAGTCAAGCAGAATATCTGTCGATTAATATCCCTGTAGTGATCTCTCTCCAGCGTCTTTGCGAACAAGGTCTATAGAAGTACTTATATAGACCTTGTTTGTGAAGGGGTAGGCCAGGACTGCGCTCAGAGGGGAGCCCGTGGCAAGACCACTAAACTTGATTTTCTTCCACACAACTTGACGAGGCTCACGAAGTGGTGTTTCGGCAGCGGAAGTTCATCATCACCTGTCATGGAGCTGGTGATGCAATTTCCATCTACCCTTCGCCCTTTGTTTCTAGTCTGTAAACACAAATATCGGAAAGTAAATTGTCTCTTTTTTTGCGTGTATATCTGCGTTGGCTCGTCGTCCATACAGCAAGCAGTATTCGATCGGACGAGTCTTTTATCAGTCCAGCGGCGGTTCGAACTTTAGATGAGTTAGTCCTTGCTACCCTGCCCAGTGCTGGATTTAAGAGAGAGGGCTTCTTTTTATCGTGTGTTTGGCGTCTGATAAACAGGTATATTAGACCATCTGCGCGGAGTAATATCGCCTTGTGTTTTACTTGTTGCGCTTGACCTTTCTGTTGTAGTTCCAGCTCAAGGGTCAGATGCTCACCCTTGAGTTCATTCCGGGGTACGTGGAGTCGATGGTGCAGGGTCCTGAGGAAGCCCGGACACGATCAGGGAACGGAGAGTGCACCGTTCCTGATATATATATATATATATATATATATATATATATATATATATATATATATATTATATATATATGTGTATGTGTGTGTGTGTGTGTGTGTGTGTGTGTGTGTGTGTGTGTGTGTGTGTATGTGTGTGTGTGTGTGTGTGTGTGTATGTGTGTGTGTGTGTGTGTGTGTGTATGTGTGTATGTGTGTGTGTGTGTGTTGTGTGTGCGTGTGCGTGTGTGTGTGTGTGTGTGTGTGTGTATGTGTGTGTATGTGTGTCTTGACTCTTTTATTGAATAGTAATGTTGGAGTGTAGATACTCCTCGAAGCGAGGTGTTGCTCCTTGTGTGTGTGTGTGTGTGTGTGTGTGTGTGTGTGTGTGTGTGTGTGTGTGTGTGTGTGTGTGTGTGTGTGTGTGTGTGTGTGTGTGTTGTGTGTGTGTGTGTGTATGTGTGTGTGTGTGTATGTGTATGCGTGTCCAGTGCGCGCATGATCTGCCACATCTATACAGGAGTCCAAAGATCGCTGTGAGTCACGAAGTCAGCATGTGACAACCGGAGACGAGTCAGCAAGCGTCACATCATCACATCAACACACAGCTCTTGCGGAAGGGACAGACAACAAAACATTGGATTGTCAAGCGTGACAAGGAGGGCAGAGGGGGGGGGAGCAATGGTCAGGCGTGTGTGTGAGATACGTATGTGTGGCGAACGTGTAAGATTAATATGAATATGTAAGATATAGTAATATGATATAGATATACCTGGGTTACATATGTGTGTATAGATTGATACATAGACACAAATGGACACACACACACATACGCACATACACAAACACATGTATGCATGCATACATGCAAATATATATATATAAATTATATATATATATATATATATAATATATATATATGTAATAT